CTTCCCGGACCGGGGCACGAACCCGTGTCCCCTGCATCGGCAGGCGGACTCTCAACCACTGCACCACCAGGGAAGCCCTCTGCATGCATTTTTACTGAGGAGTTTGTGAATTGATCAGTCAGTGAGCTAATTACTGAATCAATGATCAATGGGCACTGAGTATCTTCCATGTCTAGAACTTTACTAGTTACTCCAAAAATTAAGTAGAATAAGCCAAAATGGTCCAGTTATTGACCTTTTATTTGGAAGATAAGACAGACTCCCTTGGCAGGATTTCATAAAGGTGAAACTTGATATGAGCCTTGAAAAACGAATAAAATCTAGGGAAAGAAAGGGCAGTTCTATGCAAGAGGAACAAATTGATCTCATAACAGGAGAAAAATAATATATCTCAGGAACAGTAAGAAAATCCAGCATTGAATGTTTCTGGTCAGTGGTGAGAAATGAGATTGGATGGGCAGCAAAAGGCCACATGGTGGAGAAGTTTTAGCCTTAGATATAGGAGTTTATCTTGATTTGGGAGATTCCAGAGTTCATATATTTTGTGTGAGAAAGTCCATGTTCAGATGGTAGACTAGGGAACAAATGAGAAACAGGACACGGGATCTGACCTATCAAGCTCTAGTCGAGAGGACCATGACAGTGGTGTGCTTGATGACGAGGCTGGTTGATGATCTTACAGAAATCAGTTTTTAAGGCAAAGAAAGCGTAGCTTTTAGTTGTGATTTTGAATTTCCAGCCTTTCTGTTTCTTTCCTTCTCAATAGATGACCATTTCTCCTGCTCTTTCACATCTCCCTTGCCGGGAGAAACTCGTCATAAATATTTGCCAAAAATAACTCATTGAAATGTCAATAGTTTTCAAATATACATCTCCATCAAAAATATCTGCCTACAATATCTGTTTATTTAGCTGTTGTATAGCATAGCACAATGCAAAATGCAATCCTGCTTTCCCCTTTCCCTTTATTTAAACTGTTTCTCCACCCTGATGCTCTCCACTTCATCCTTGCTAATCGACCCATTTTTTAAATCTGCTAAAAATTGCCACTTCACTTTGTTTCTTGATTCATTCCATCTAAAGGGTCTTGCACTTCTCTTTTGATAATTAATCACCAATCATGGCCCGCCTCATGTTTTACTTTTGGAGCATTATTTCATCAGATACGTAATTGGTGCCTCCTAGAGGACCAATGTCTTACCATCCCCTGTGTGGTTGAGATCAGTGCTCTGCATGGATGTATAATTTGCTGTTAACTTATTGGGTTGGCCAAAAAGTTTGTTCGGTTTTAAGTAAAAATAAAGACACATTTTTCATTTTCACCAAGAACTTTATTGCACAATGGATTCACTAACCGAACGAACTTTTTGGCCAACACAGTACATTGAATTATTTGGTGACAACGTCCTGGTTTAGGCAACATGGCATGTTTCATCTGGGCTATAACTGCAGTCTCCTAATTCATCTGCTTGACTCCAATTCATCCTTCATTTGCTGCCCAGGTTATTTTGTACATTTGAGATTGGTATCCATCACCTCAGAATAAAATCCTAACCTTTCGTATTCAAGACTGTCCTCTATCACCTGGTTCTGGGCCATGCTTCTACACCCATCCCGGCCTTATCCTGCCAGGTCCTCTGGTGATGCTGAATCATGGGCCCCCAATGGGTAGTATCAGGCTTTTGTTCAGTGCTATTGCCTTAGGCTAGCATGTACTCCTTACTCCTCTAGTGATTCCGTTCTTTTTTTTTAAGATGAAAAATTTTAATATACATATATCATTTACACAGACACATATAGGTAATATGTATACAAGTACATAATGTGTATACACTCACATAATTAAGGAAATTAACCATAGTGTTTATAAAACATATAGAATAGAAAAACTACGATGTTCAACAGAGGAGAATTAATTATAATAAGCACATGTTACAGAACACTATGCAATTCTTAAAAATAATGGTCTTCAATAATAGAGAGTCTGGAAAACATTAAAGATATAGTTTTAGATTTTAAAAGCGGGTCACAGGAGAAGCTTTTTGGGGCTGTTATTGTTGCCTCAAGCTACTCCTTGGATCCGATGCCGAAATGTAGACCAACCTCATCTTCTTGCCATTGACAAAAACACAGCCTTGTCACTCTGCAACCCCACAAGATAAGAATCACTGCCAGAAATGATCAAATAATGTGGTCAAACAAACCCTCTACCAAAGACCTGTTTCCTATAAAATTTTGGGTGATCATTTTAAATCACCACGTTGAAACTCATGTTTTGCCTCTCTGGGCTCACATGACAGATAATACACAATTCTAATTTTTTCAGCGGGACTGTATGAAATTACATTTTGAAATGCTTCTGAACTTAAAACATATGGAAAATGAAATATTAGCAAAGTGAGTGGACTGTGGAGTCTAAGTGTACGAACTCCAACAAATGGGAACATTAAGTGATATTTATTTGTGGAGGTACGTGGTTTCTAAACTTAAATCTATTTCAGCTTGTTCTACATGAAAGAACATTGGAAAATACCACCTGAGTAAAGTCTGTACTTTTAGCAGCCCTGAAACGGTCAGAACTCTTGCTTCTTGTTACTCTAATCTGGCTTCTCCTTCTATTAAAGGTCAAAAGTTATAGAGAACATGCTTAGTAAGAGGTATTTTTTTTGCCAAGAAAAAAGCTCTGCAGATATTTTCAGATGTTTGAGGCAATGGGGCTTTTAAAACCTTGTCCTTAGTTCCTTGTGCATTGGTAGATACTTTCGCCAAAATTTAACGAGTTTTTAATATTCATGCATTCATTAGTGCAGCTGGCATTGTGTGCCCATCAAGGCGCTAGGTGTTGGGATCAGGCAGTGAGCAGAAAAAGACACGGAGTCCTTGAACTGTGACATCTGCAATCCAGGGGGAAAAGACAGAATTATTAATTATCATACAGATTAATGAGAATTCTATTAAGTGTGCTGAATTAGAGAAGCTGGTGCTATGAGAACATCTAAAAGGGGATCTGACCCAGGTAAAGAGGTCAGGGAAGGCTTCCCTGAGGAAGTGACGATTGCACCGATCTGTGAATGATAAGAGCTAAAATTGCATTCTATGCAGAGGGCCTATGATGCCCAAAGGTCCTATGGAACCAGCGGGCATGGCACCCATGGGGGAATAGAAGTAGGTCGGTGAGGCTGGCAGAGAGAGCTGGGGGACATGTGGTGGAGAATGGATGGAGTGGAAGAAGGGGTCAAGCCCATGCAGGTGTTAGACTATATTAAGGATGATGCCTTTATCCTGATTGTTTGGGAAACCTGTCAGGGGTTTATAAGCAACAGGAGACAAGATCAGGTTTCTCTGTGGAGAGGCTTCCTAGAGTTAAAAAGCAGGGAACACACTGGAGGGGGGAAAAGTGAGTGAGGGTAGGTGAATTGAGAGTGTTGCGGTTGCCCGGGGAAGATGGTGGCACCTTTGATCAGGGTGGCGACAGAAAGCAGGCTGGAGAGAGACTTGAAGTAAAAATAGGACTTGGTGACAAATTGGATACATGCCGTGACTCCTGGGTTTCTCTGTTGGCCAAAACCTTTCCAAATTGAGGCTTGTGCAGACCTGACATATTTATTCTCCAAAGAAATCTCTTTCAGTGACCCTTCAGAATTTTTATTCTATCACTCTTGATGGAGCACCTGTTATGTATTGTTTTGGCTGCTGGTGACACAGGAGTAGACTAGTTCAAGTCTCTCATGGAGCTTGTGCCCGTTGGTCCCAGAAAGCGGGGTGAAGGTGAAGTTCAGTGCAAGCACCACGAAAACAGTTTAAACCAGGGGAGGTCAAGTTTTCTTCTGGCAAATCAGGATAAATGTTCTAAAAAGCGCTTTACACTTCCTAAAGCCCCTTACTACCTCACAGGAACCAGTGGGATAGGCAGGAAGGTGTGAATTAAGGAGCCAGGGCAGATTAGGACTCCCAAGGTCACAAAGGTGAGAGAAGTCAGTACACGGGCTCAGGTTTTCCAAGACGAGTGTTCGCCCTCCTCTTTCATTTCAAAATGAAAACCGTTATCAGAAGGTTGAAAAATCAACCTGCTGGAGAAGAGGATTCCTTGTCTAAGTAGCTGGTTTGGAAAATAACAGATTCAAGGCCTCTCTCTCAACTAGGGAAAGAGCACACTTCGAGGTGAAGTCTAAGCCACAAAAGTGTGCTTCTTACCTTCATCATTAGCTGCAGTAACATAACCAGATTCTTTTAAAAAAATATATTCATTTGGCTACACCAGGTCTTAGTTGCGGTGCTCGGGATCTTCATTGTCGCGTGCAGGATCTTTTAGTTGCGGCATGCGGCATCTAGTTCCCTGACCAGGGATCAAACCCTGGCCCCCTACATTGGGAGCGTGGAGTCTTAACCGCTGGACCACCAGGGAAGTCTCCAGATTCTTTATTGGCCAAATGAAGGCTGGCAAATCAGGGAAATTCTGATTTTGTACTGCTCCATCACGGAAGTGAAATTTCAGGCATGGATCTTGGAAGCTCATGCCATTACCCTGCGGGGGAACTTAGAACCAAGGGAAGTAAAAAGGCCTGCTTTCCTCTTTTCTTGGTTTCTTTCTTCATTTGAACAGCTTAGTTATGTGAATAATTTTGGTGCTTTGTCTCTTACATCATTTTACTTCTCATATTTAGCTGATCTTTAATACTCATGAAAGGCTTTAAAGCCAATGTTGCCATATTTTCAGTAACAAGCTTGATTTTTACAAGGTTATATTAGAAAGGTTGATCTCAGGGTGGCTCTAAAGATGTGACCTGACCTCCTTTGACCTACGAAAGCATTAGAGATGGGAGTAGATCTTCCCTGCAGCTGTAATTTCTCAGTTCCGAGGATTGTCAATCCTCACTAAACAGGCCCATCAACTGACACCTCTTCTTCACCAGAGAGGAGATATTTCACCTTGTATCTGCCATATTCAGTTACCAGAAAAACCCACCCCAACCCACATCTGGACCAAATATTCAATAACATTATTTATCAAAATAAATTTATTAAAAGTATTCAAAGACCACTTCAAAGTTTAGCTGCCATCAGGACAGTTTTGACACTCGTAATGGACATTGTCGTTTTCTACACAACAGCACTCATTCTATTACACACACCGATTGACAATTCAAACAGACTGTTTCAGTTTTAGAGTTACGTGAGACAACAGTACTGATGATCTGTAGTCATAGGAACTTCAATACCCTTGCACATAGTAAACATGTGTTACCTAGTACTAAAGAAACTACAGCTAAACCACTATGTGGTAACAAGGACTGATTTAGGGAAAAATGTACAGCCAGCTCACTAAGGCCACATAACCCCAGACCTATTGATTGTAAATGCTTCTGGACCAATAGTGTTACATAGTTACCTTTCAGTCTCAAGCTCCTGTTTTTCCAGCATGAGACACGCCACGTTTAGACCACGCTTTCCCTGTGCTCCCTCAGTTACGGAAGCTGTCCCAGTACCAGCTTCTCCTAGACGGCTACTGGCTTCCTGATTCACTACCCAACTCTGAATCAATAGTTCTGAGTGATGTTTCCTGAACACCCAGGCTGAATTCAAGGTCAGTCTTTTTGGCAGGTGACAGCCTTTCCCCTTAGGAAAAAAATGAAATGTCCTCGTTTCTGGGTTCCCTTTGTCATCTCAGGTAGCATGGGGCTCAGTGGTGATCTGTGGCTTTTTACACAAGTCCTGGTAGAATTCTGACTCCAAGAAACGGGGATAAGAGTTGTTCTCCATCAAGCTGTACACCCTTTTCTGGGCAGTTGTAAAGCAGCCACTTGTAGCCTCTTGTATGTTTTGGGCAATCAGAGTTTTGGTTTGAAAGTCTATGTTGATCTGAAATAAAACATAAAAAGTGGTTTATTCCATATTCAGAGTTAAGAGATTAATCTATTTAATATTTGAAAACAACAACAAAAAAACTATAATGTGTGATTAGCTTAACCGGCCAAGTCACTCGAGAAATGTAATTAACCTCCCTGAAAGTAGAAGTAGGGGAAGAACATTTACCCCACTCCCCTTTTAATTTGAGGTCTCTTCAATTCTTTCCGTTTCACTTTGGTGCTGAGAATGTTTAAAATATGCTAAAACGAGGAAATTTTTATCTCCCCTTACCTCTTTTGGAGCTTCTTTTTCTATGAAATCAGTATATATTTTCTTTGCTTTTGAGGACAGCTTTTGGGGTGACTTGGTTTTTTTGAAGTCTTCACAGGCCAGCCAGAATTCAATATTTTCTTCACAGAATTCAGATTTTAAAAAAGCCCTGAATGCAGCAAGACCATCTGGGGAGGTGGGGTGGGGGGGTGGAGAAAGAAAGCATGCATACAGTGAACTGAGTGACCAAATAATCCCTTCTGTTTTTTCCTAGAACTCCCACTCCCCTGGCCCCATATTTTATTATTTCTAAATGATAGCAATTTTCTAGATTTCAGTCAACCTGTAACCCTCAGAATTTAGCTCTTTAAAGACTAAGATGCCAGTCAGCAAAACGCCTAAGTTGGCACACTACTACAAAAATATATAAATACTTAGCTTCGCTGTTAATTCACATATTTATAGGGGAGCCATAAGTTCTCTGGGAATGACGTCTCTTGCACTGTTTGCAATGGAAAACCTGACTCAACCTTAACAAAAAGCAACTGCCATTACAGTTTTGGGCTAATTTTTTTCCCACCTTGAGTGAAAAAGCCATGCATTTCCCTGGTTAATCACTGGGAAATAAAGGAGAAGAATATGCCTCATGCCATGGGGATTGTAAAGTAAAATTCCCCTTGGGCAAGCTGCTCTTGCTGTGTGGACACAACGTTTCTAGTCTCCTCATACTTGAAATGGATCAAATTCAACAGGTTAACTTACATTTACTGGCTAGCAGCTCATCAAATGCTTCTGACCACAGCTGGGCTTCCTCGGGAGAAGGCCTGCAAGAGAAGTTCTGCGTATTAGCTCACGCATGTCAGAGGTTCCCTTTTCAGCTCAGCAGTGAGTTCATTCGCAAGTACAAGATTTTGAACTTACTTGGTGAAGGTTTGCTGTTTGCTTTTCTTGCTGGTTTTGGGCTTCCCAGGAGAGGAGGAATTTTGCAAGAAGTAGCTCAAACGGCTCTTCCAATCTTTCAATCTTAAAAAAAAGAAAAGAAAAAAAAAAGGATATTCACTTAGTGGCAACACTTGAAATCACCAATGCAGCTGAAGGCATTTTTACCAAATAAAGTTGCCCCCTGTGGCTACAGACAAACCAAATAAGACAAAACAACTCTTCCTGTCAGTCTTACACCTTTAACATTTAAACCTAGCACCTATATACTAAACACACTAGTTTCATCCACTCATCTGAACATAATTACTAGTTTTAAAAATAAGGGTAGAACTACCTACAATTATAGGGTATTTTTATGAATCTAGTCTGCATAGTTCAAAAAGCAGATGTTATTTCTGGCCCACAGAAGGCAGCAGTTTTTCTGCAACGTTAATTACAATTCTGAGACATTTCACACTTGATGAAACCCACAGTGGAACTGCCCTGAACCAGCCTGTGCTCACTTCCCTTCTACCCTTCGAGCTGGAGGCTCTGGACCACCCTAGAAGCTGTGCATAATGAATGTATGTGTGTGAGATGGCCCGTCCTCCTCCCCCAACTACAACACTCATTTTAAGAAGATGATGCAGAACAATTATTTGTTCCACAGTCCTGAGTGGGTGAGATCTGTTCAATTAAAAAAAAGAAAAGATTTTAAAAGAATATATTAGGAATCAGCAAAAAATATCTACATCGCAGCAGCCGTGTAAAGCTGATCAAAATTTACAATGCAACGTACGAATGCCAGGGACGCGCTTCGGCCGCAGGATTCCCTGAAGTCATTTTCGATGCAGGGGGACAAAAAGCCAACCAGCATCTACCACCGCCTCTGCATCAAGAATTTTCTGCAGTTTCTAAACTCTACCCGAGAGTCCTTCGCTCACGTCACAAAATAAATACCCACACAGGTTTAAACCTTACTTAACAAATTAACCTTTTCCACATTTTTTTTTCCTGCAGAGGTGCACGGTACCCAGTTCCAAGCGCAAATGTACCGCGTTTGTAGCCGCCCAGGACAGCTGGGTCTGCAGGGGTGGCGCGGGGGAGAGAAAAAAGCCTTACTCACAGGGTTCGCTTCATTTTCTCCCGCTTCTCCTCGCTCTTGGGGCCGGTGCCTGCACTCTTGTCCATGGGTCCGCAGTCGTGCTGGACAGCCAGGAACATAGCACTAGGCATTATCGTTTTCCGACTGAGGCTACTGCTTCGGCTGGCGGGGCGGGCGCCGCCGTATTTATAGAAGGCGGAGGCGCGGGGGCGGGGCCTGACGATGCCCCGCCCGCCTCCAGCGGACGCCGATTGGCCAGCTGCAGCCGGGCACGGGGGCGAGGTCAGCGCCCGTCTGCGCAGTCACGGCTGCCAGCGAAGGGTCTGGAAGCGAGGGAGCTGCTGACGTCTGCGGCCCCGGCGTCGTGCGCAGTCGGGCCAAACGCGGCGACCGGCTCGGGCCGGTGTGGGAGCTGAGAAGTTTCCCGCCGAGTGGTCGCCAGACACCTCTGTCGAGTTGTGGCGGCCGGGCGGGGTCGCAGGGCCGTGGAGGCAGGGAGCCAGGTCGGCTGCAGGCCCGGCCGGGGCGCTCGCCCTCCCCGTCCTTTTCAACATCCCCTCCCCTCCCCCACGCTCTGACCCCAAAGCGAGCGGCGATTGCCCAGCAGGTAAAGGTTGCTTGCTGGGATCCCGAATGCAATTACCTTATTTTGAATTAGGATGTGTTTCCCCCTTTTTGGAGCGCACGCCCTCTCCCCACGCCTCCTTTCTTGGTCTGCAAACTGAGGCCCTGGGGAGACCCTCATCCGTTCCTTTTTGCGACTCCGTTTAATTTGCGGAAGGAAACCGTGAATGGGAGGAAAGGTGACGGTCAAGAGGCAGGTGGTGTGAGTGACTTTGCGTTCTGCCTGGGCGTCTCGTAGCACGTTTGGGGATGAACGTTAGGGAAGGGACAGGAGAAAGTGCTTTCACTGGGTGTGCAGTTTTGATCACCAGCAGGCACGTGGCTGGGTCTGTCCGTGGGGTTGCAGACTGTCCCTCAGGAGTCCTTGGCTGCCTGTCCTTCCAGAACAGAAAGAAATCACAGACCTCCTTACTATGAGATAGAGGGAAACACCAAGACCTCGCAGCTGTCATACACCCGAATCAGTGTAAGAGTGCAAGGATGCAAGGTTTCCTCCTGAGTCATTCTTAGTTGCCTTAGAATTTACCAGAACATTTAATTGGCAAAAAGGAGAGGTGGCGGTGGAGGGAGGGAGAAGTTAACAGCTTGCTTGAATAAGCTTAGTCTGTGAAGTCTTCAAAAATCATCTTGCTGTAGCACGAGTTAAACGGTTTGATTGGTAAGGACAGGTAGATAACCTCAACTCCAAAATGATTTGATATCAGATAACATGATTAGAACCATACGGTGGAATATTCTAGTGGTTTTCCCTCAAGCGTCTAAGTAGACAGCGAGATTAACAGCAAGGTATTAGACTGCAAATATTCTCTCTGCTTTGTATTAGAACTGTTAAAAGAAAATGGGGACAAGTTTACCATATTCTTATGATGAGCTGCCAGTAGTTGGAGCTCCCAGTTTGACTTGGAGAGTAAAACCTGCAATTATTACTAAAGAGGACAGCCATGTACTCACTTATGGAAAGGAAAATCATTTAGATTTCAGTAATAAATACTTGAAAGCATGTTTGTGAAATGTAAGAATATAATTTTTCTCAAGCCTATGTGTGCACTTCATCTCTGAAAGAACTTTGCATATTTCCTACAGCTATTTTCACTTTCTGATGATTCAGTACTTATTTATTAAATATGTGTAATATGCAGACACTTGCTTTTTCTTGCTAATTTAAACCTCAATATGTTTTTCACTTAGAACCTTGGATGGTAGAATTCACTCATAGTGGAAAAGACAGGCGTTCTGACTCAGAGGCAGCAAGGAGAGAGAGCTGGGCTTGTGTCAGGATACGTAGTTAGAGTCTCAGCTTCACCAGTAAATGCTAAGTAACTGCTGGGGCAGTCGCATCGCACCTCCCTGAGCACCAGTTTCTCATCTCTATTAGGAGTAATGAATGTGTTTTTCTTGCCAGCCTCACTGTATATTATGGGAATCTTTCGTGAAAGGCCTTTGCAAATTTTAAAGTACTATACAAAAGTTTGTTTTTTCTTTAAAATTTGCGTGTGCGTGGAAGAAGGAAATATCTGGAAGCATAGCTATTCAAGGTAGAAAAATCATTAAAGGATTAATTCAGGGTTTATTAGGTTATAAATGTGTAAGTACTAGTAAAATTCAAGATAACGTCACAGCTTTGTGGAGTATCAAGCTCGTAACAGATACTTTATAAATGTTCTCTGGGTAAAAAACAAATAAGAAAATAAGTAAACTGTTTAGGATTTGAACTTTTTCAGAGATCTTCAAGCCAGAAAAGTTTAATCATCTCAATACATTCACGACAGTGAATGTATGTCGTGAATGTATATGTATATCCATGTAGGTAGCTGGTTTAAATATAGACTATTCCAGATGTTTCTTGTAAGTTTTTAATATAACTATTTGCTTTTTTTGCAAACCATTTCCGAATGACAACTGAAGTTAAGGCAGGCAGACGTACATTTAAAGCGAAAACTGCAGTGTTGACTTCCCTTTTTTGCTGCTGTTGGGAGTGGCTTTTAGGTAAATGGGATTGCTTAATGTGAAGATGACACATGCTTTGCATTCTGCGTTGGAGGAAGAAACAATGCAGTAGGATGTAAATACTGCACAGCAAAACCTCAGTTGAGAGTGGCTTGATGAACTACACATACATTTCCCACGTTGAGTCTACCGTGCTCTCTACTGGAGAGGCTGTCTGCTGAGCGCGTTAGTGGTGGAAGCTTGCAGGGTGGTCCTTGAACTTTTTGTATCTAAAAAAATTTAAGTTACAGAAGAAGGCAAACAAAAAATACAAGTTTTTAGTAACACCAAAAGGAGATTACCGAAAGCAAAAGTGTCCCCTGCCATACTTCTCTCTTCCACACCCACTGTATGCTATTTATTAATAAGAACTATTATTATCTGAAAATATTTATACATAATAACTTTCATACTTGCGAAGTAGTTTTACTTTTTTGTGTCAGTAAGATATCTTAGTTCCTAAATTTGTAAAAGCTGTAAACCTGTTGCTTACCTCATGAAATCTTAAATTGGTGAGAAGTTTAAAAAAAGGAAAAAAAATTAGGAAATTAAGTGCCCTGTGTCAAACGGTGTGATGAGTAATTGGAAATAATGAAAACTTTTAGTATCCATATTGTTGAGTGTATTTGAGGAAGTGTGACACCTGTCTTCTCATTTTGTCTGTCTTTTTTTTCTTTTTGGTCTTATTCTCATTTAACTTTAATTGGTGGAATATGCTTTTAACAGACGGAACATATGACCCCACAATGAATGAATTTATGACCCCACAGGATTACGTACTCTACTCTTCACTCCTAATATGGTCTGAGATTTAAAATTCATAATTGCTCTCTTTCTTAGAAGGTAATTTTCATACCTAGGAGTTGTTAAGAGAGAAAGTGTTTTTGTCAGGAATGAATCAGAGTTTCAACCAAATACTTGACATGTATTATAGAGGAGTTAACGATTTTACTAGTCCTTGTATTGGTAATTTCAGTAAGAGCACTTCCATGGTTCTGCCTTAAATTCACCCATCGTATGAAGTATGTCATACTTCAGATGCAGGCAGGGCCTACTTAAATTTAATAATTCCCTCTTACTAAGTAAAGCACCTGGATTCTCTTTGGAAACTGACAACAGGAGGATTACAAATTTTTTTTTTCTTCCCGAATAAAAATCCTAATGTATATTGAAATACCTCTAGTAGGTTCCTGTAGTTAAAGAACACTTAGTATGAAGTCTAGGTTTGGGGGACCATTTCCAGTATCTGCCTCTTGCCACTCTCTTCTGTGACAGTGGGCCACATGGAATCTCAGGGGAGAGTAGGCGATTAGAAACACTTTCTGATGAAATAAGTTACATAGATGGCATATTGCCTTATTAACCGCAGTAAAACTAGGGGTTTCTTTCCTGGCATTTGTTCTCCTGGAATTTTAATTTCTGTGCACAGAATTTTGTCAAATCATGAAAATGTCAAGTGTCTATTGATTACTGTTTTGAAATCTTGGGATATTGGCATCATAATATACAAGATTTCAAAGGTCTATATGATATCAGTTGCAGAGAATCTTTTTTTTTTTTAAGTGTGAAGAAAGGCTTCTTTTCATCTAGTAAACAAGGAATCCATTTGCACTGGTATTTCCAGCTTGCTAACTGTTCCTAGGTAGGGAGTATTAATTCATTTTAGACACTGGCTTTCAAAGGTCTTTGATCCATGGACTACTTCACAAGAACCTAAAACCTCGTGGATTTTCTCTCCCAAACACATTTTTTTAAACCAACAAAAATTCCCAGATCTTAACCGAATTAACTGATAAAAGAACAATGCTTTCAAGGAGATACCAGTAGGCCCTGACCCAACTGCCTCGTTATAAATGTTCAAGTCCTCAATGCTGAGCTCACGTCCACAGCTTCAAAAGACACAGTACTTTTGCCTTTATTTTCATAAATTATCCTTAGCAGAGCAGGATGGTTGGAGGGTTTGTCCATAATTGGGATATTTGCCTTTAGTTCCCAGTTCCTGGCATTATTTTAGCTGTGAGCCCAGGCAAATTGCTTAGCCTTCTTGTGCCTAGGCTTCATATCTTGAGGGTGGAAGTAATTATAGCAGCCTTCCTTTGCAAGGAAGTGAAAAGAAAACATCGCGGGGACTGCATGAGTGTCTGGGTTGATGATAGCTCATAGTGCCCAGACCCGGTGTTCAGCAGAACTTTGTAGTGGGACTAGTTTCTTCCAGGTGACTCTTTTTCCCATTTTGTTGTTGCTTTCCTAGCACCCACTATTTGCTGCTACTCTTAGGGTGGCAGGTCTTCCATTCAGGTGGAAGGGTTGAATCAGAAGGCCCTGAGCATCTACCAGTCCGAGGAGTACCAGGGCAAGTTCTGGCTTGCTTCAGCGTAGGACACACTGTTTTAAGGATGGGGGTGGCCAGTGGAGGGCTCTTCTGTCTGTGGTCCTGTCCCTGGGAGGATGCATCTGCTCTCCACCAGGCTCTAGGCCCTGGACTCTGTGCCATTACTGCCTGCTGCCACTGCTTTCTGGGTGTCTGTTCATCCATGGGGTTCCCTGGTGCTCCCTTTTTGCTCTTCCAAATGCTCCATTGGGAACATCAGGGATGTAAGGTTACTTTTGGAAATGTTGTAAGTTCTTCCTGAAAAATGTTTTGGAAATGTCTAGCTCTTCACATGCTGACATTTCCATCTATTGATATTTTGAAAGAATTCTCTGCTATCTTCACAGGGTGAATTCTCTCTACATTAGATATTTGGTGAAAATTCATTTATTTTTCTCAGTGCAGTGTAGGAAGGATGTTAAGTTGCCTCTGGTGTTTCTCCCTGTTCCTCTCTAAGTACATTCCCCTCTCCCCCCTACCGTCCCCCTTTCTGATCATAGCGAAGCTTTCTTATTTGGAGACTTAAGACTTTCAGTGCTTCAATTATTTTATCTCTTTCAATTAATGCAGTGTACATTTGGTTGCACATTCTTCAAGAGTTTTTAAATAAATTTTAAAATAAACCTAGTGAAGGTGAGCATAGTCACCTGGCCTAGCCAAGCCTAGATCAGCCGTGTTTAACCCAGCAACATGAGTCAGTTTCATCAAAACTGCTTTGAATTCATCTTATTAGAAGTCTTCATTTTCTGATATGTTTGTTTATATCTAGTTTCAAGGTTCTGCATCCATGTTGCCTTCTTCATGAACTGCAGACTGATCTCTCATCTTGAGTAATAATCTTTCTTAATCATTTAGAACTTGTTCCAGATGCAGTTTTATTTATTTATTTATTGGCTGTGTTGGGTCTTCGTTGCTGTGTGCGGGCTTTCTCTAGTTGCAGGGAGTGGGGGATACTCTGCGTTGCAGCGCGAGGGCTTCTTATTGCGGTGGCTTCTCTTGTTGCAGAGCACGGGCTCTAGGCACTCGGGCTTCAGTAGTTGTGGCTCGTGGGCTCTAGAGCGCAGGCTCAGTAGTTGTGGCGCACAGGCTTAGTTGCTCCGCGGCATGTGGGGTCTTCCCGGACCAGGGCTCGAACCCGTGTCCCATGCATTGGCAGGTGGATTCTTAACCACTGAGCCACCAGGGAAGCCCCCTAGGTTTTTTTTTAACCTTTTTTTTTTTTCTGATTAATAAGTTTGCTCACTCTTCCTGTCCGTTCTTTAGTTTCTTGTGAAAGCAGTTATATACTTCCCCGAAGATGGGAATTGTCATCTGAAGCATCTTTTTAGTGCTGTCTGAAGTTGTTCTTTGATTTTCTGGTGCACTTTAAAGGCTGTTTTGCTTGTAGTTACTTATATTGCATGGGTTTCGATGAATTTTTCAAAGACTGAATATTTCTTGAATGTCAACTTGTTCTAAATGCTTAGATATCTTTTTGCTAAGTTCTTTTGTAAAGGTCTGTATTTTAAGCCTAAACAAGGAGTTGGAGATTCCACCTCCTTATTATTGGCCTCCAGTTTTTCTATTGCTGATAGTTTGTTCTTGAGTCTGGCCTCCATTAAAGTTGGTTCACGTCCTTCAAATTCCTTTTTTTTTTTTTTTGCGGTACGCGGGCCTCTCACTGTCGTGGCCTCTCCCGTTGCAGAGCACAGGCTCTGGACATGCAGGCTCAGCGGCCATGGCTCACAGGCCCAGCGGCTTCGTGGCATGTGGGATCCTCCCGGACCGGGGCACGAACCTGCGTCCCCTGCATCGGCAGGCGGACTCTCAACCACTGCGCCATCAGGGAAGCCCCAAATTCTTTTTGAATTAGGTTAAACTTGACAAAATTTTGATGTCTTTTCTCCAGAAGGGCAGGAACTTCAGTAGCTAGTTCTCTGTCTTTATTTGAGTAAGGTAGGCTTTTAATTATTAAAAATCTGACTGACTATAAATAACACCATCTCTCACAGTAATCCATGGGCTCTAGGTCTAGTTTAATGTTCTCTAGCAGGGTGGACAGTGGCTGCTACAGCGTGTCCAGAACCAGGGCAGCACAGGCCATCGTGGCCATGAGCAGACCCCGTAGGCTATTCTGAGCCAATGCAGGTTGCCAGGACTCTGCTGGCCGTACAGAGTGTAGACAACACCTGCGAGCGTGTGCCTGGAACCAGTCCTGTGTCTGGTAACTAGGGTAGACCTCAATGCAGGGGAAGTAGAGGGGACAAGTACAACAAATTATTGGCTAATGCTTTTTTTTCTCTTGACTACCTTTTCATTCTGTGGCCCTGGAGGTCTTCTGTTGCCCAAACAGGCCACAGAAGACTTCCTGCTCTCAGAGCCCCTCCACGTCAGGATGGCCTTGAGCATATGTGGGAAAGGATGGGGGACGGATTATGGAGGACACTAGAGAGGCTTCAACTTCACCAATTTCACCTTTGAAAAATAAGAAATAAATAATTGGAATTTTAAAAAGTTTTCACTCCTTAAGAATGTGCAGTCCAACTGTGACCAGAGAAAACATGATGTTTTCAAACTCTTGCAGGTGGTGAAACATTTGATGATACAGAAGCCCTTCAGGGTGCTTCTGTTCAGAATGATCATCTCTGGAGGTATTAGATGTTGGATGCAGCTTTTCCTCCCAGAAGTTGACCCTTAGGCCGTGGGAGATCTAAGCTTTGTCTGGCTCACTTAACAGCTCAGTCTTTTTGGCGATGAGCCTGCAGGTTGGCTGGGAGTTCACTGGCTTTGGCTGGGCTGGGCATTTCACCTGCCCCGGTTGGGCTCACTTATACGGCTTGGAGTAGGCTAGAGATTGGTCAGTCAGGCTCGGCGAGGCTGGGTGGCTCTGCAGGTCTTGGCTGGATTTCTCCTGTGTCTTGAGCTCAGCGGATACAGGCTGGTATTGCTCAGTGCCTGGCTCTGCCCCTTGGATTTCTCATCCCTGTCTTGTAATCTGTGGTAAAACCTGGTCTGTCCTTCCCATGGTAATGGCCGAGCACAAAACAGCCAGTCTTTCGGCTGTGAGAGCAGTTGTCCAATTTGCATTTTTAAAAATTCACCCTGACTGTGAGATGTCGGCATTTCATTTGGTGGCCTTTTCTCTTCTCGGAGACATGATCCTGAGGGAGACTGTAGGTTTTCCGGAATTGGGATATGGAGTAGAAGTTGATCTAGTCACCCATTTCTTCTCTTTCTATGGCTTGGTTCACAGGTCACTGTGAAGTTGGGACACGTGAGTTGGCAGAGATGAACTCTTACTGCAGTGGACACCAACCCAGAGACGGCTGAACGAGCATTCCCGAAGTCCTGCACTCCGCTGACCAGGTGAGGAGAAACTCCTCACAGCATACACTGTCCAATGGGAATAACGACGGCTTGGGTGTCCAAGACACTGATTCAGCAGGACCAAATGCTGAGTAACTGCAGGATTCCAGGGAAGCCTCTTCATATTTGCAGGTCTTCATTTTTCTCTCTCTGAAGAGCAGGAAATATGTGAGTAAACTCCATATTTTGAATCTGGTGGGGCTCAAGCTGGTGTGAAAAGTTCATCTTTGGCAGGACTGAGACAGTCTTTTTCCAAGAGTGCTAATTTTTTTTTTTAACATATTGTAGAGTTTTCTTGAAAGAATAAATCAACATTTATGTCAAGGTACAAGGAATTATGCTCTGAGTCATTCTTCGTGCTGTCTTTCCAAAAGGTGATAAGCCTTTAATTCTTGTCCTGAAACAGCCTGCTGCAGCTGAGAGCTACAGAATTTCAGTCAGCTTGTCAATTTGTTCTTTGTCTTCTCTTTTCCACCTTTGGGAGACCCTGGCTGTCCTGCCCCTTGGAGAACATCATGATCCCTTGGGCTGGTGGATGACTGTAGCAAACCTGAGGGACTTCTGGAGGGAGGTGTCTCTGCTTTGTGAGACTACCACCCAGGTGGAGCGTCTCCCTTTTTTTTCTAAACATTAAATACTTAATGTTTGTTTGTCATATAATATATAAACAGACCTTCTTAGCAGACTGTTTTTTTTATTTTCAGGAGAGAAGAGCTTATGAACTTGATAAAAAGGTAAGAGTGTGTGTGTCAGTTGTTTTGGAGGAGGGTAGAGAAGTGGGTGGGTGATGGTGGCTATCAGATGTTAGAAAGCTTAGCAAAGACGTTGAGTTTAAGCTGGTCAGGAGAACTTTCTCTGTGGGTCTCCCAGATCCAAGCCAGGGAATTTTTATAGGGATATCAAATTGACTCTGTTTGGGAAGAGGGTTTTCTTTCCACCTTCTTTGCAGCATCTGCTTGTTTGTCCCTTAAATGCTGAAGTTCCTTAGATGTCTTCTGTTTTCGCTCTGCACATTCACGCTATGCAGTCACTCCCATAAACTCAGCTGTGGTCTGTGTGCTGATGAATGTCTATGCTCATCTCTCTCCTCATCTCAGACCTTTTTAGCTAATTGTCCATTAGCTTGATTCACCTAGATGACTCATAGGCGGTTCAAGTGAACTTGTTGAAAACAGCATTTCCCATCTTTGCACCTAAACCTGTTTCTTTGCCTTTGTTCTCTATCTCAGTTACCCAAGACAAATTGAGTTTATCTTTGAGTTCTCCCTCGCCCAGTTTCATATCAAGTTTATCCTGCCTATTAATTTTACTTCTTAAATGTATCTTGAGACTATAAACTTCCCTTTACTCCATTTCCACTTTCCTGATTCTCTCTTCATCTCTCTTATGGATCCAGGCAAAACTTATAATTGATCTCTCACCTGCTAATTGATCCTCTCTAATGAATGATCTGTTTTCAGGCACCGTGATTCTACTAAAACACTTGTCTGGTCATTATTGCTTTTCTGATTAAAACCGCTAATGGCTTGTCATTACCCTTAAGTTCCAGATTCCTTAAATTGCCCTACGAGATCCTTTCTATCTGGCCCCTGAAAGCCTATCCTTTATTACGTGATCTTCTGTCACTGCTACCTTGCTCTCTATGCCCCTACCTACTGAATATTTTGTAGTTCCTTCCACGTGCTATGCTTCCTCTTTCCTTTAGCCATTTGCTCATGCTGTTACCTCTACTTGGACCTTTTTCCATTCTTTCCACTCTTTATCTGACTTTCTTCTGTATGATTCATACTCTTCCAGGTATCGCTTAAGTGAACTTTCTTTGTGTACACCACCTACATACTTTTCTTCCCTCCACTGACATGTCTGGATAAGGTGCTCCTCTTAAGTGCTGTCATAGCACCTGTTAATTTACTTACCACAGTGAATTGTAATTGCCTGGTTTCTTGTCACTGTTCATCACTAGACAATTTCTCTTTCTCCTCCCCCTTCTCTCTCCCTCCCCCTCCTTCTTCTTCTCCTTCCTCTTTTTAAAAATTATTATATCCTGGAACATAGAGAATCCTCAGTAAATATTTACTGAGGGAATGAAATGGATGGGTGGACATATGAATGAGTAAATGAGTGAATGAATGCATGCATGGTAACTTTTCCAGGGCGTTTGACATCTGTTACCAGTGTGACTTGTGCCAGAGGTTCATATGTTCTCCATATCTGTAATTAAATTCCTATTGTAACCTTATAAACTTTCCATACTAACATTGAACTTTGCAGTGTTTGTAAGTTTTCTATTCTTTCTGTTGGTATTTTTTCTGTGTGCAATTTATGAAATAATCTATTTGTTGGTTTTCTTAAAAATCTGACTTTTACCTATTGTAAATAGGTTTACAGGTTTAGAGGCTATTCATTTAAAACATTATGAACGTGTGAAAAATCTCACATTTCCTCTAATAAAAATGTTAAAAAAAAAAAACCCCACAGGATTAAAAAGGTCACACGGTATTATCATTTGTTTTCCTTTCACTGTCTCTTACCATATATATTTGAATGAAGCCATATAGATGTGTATATGTGTGTGTGTGTGTGTGTGTGTGTGTATTTGTCTTAATTAGACAATTTAATAGTAAATTAGATCTAATATAAAAGTAGCTTGTTTCTTATTTTTAGGAATTTCCAGTTTGGACCATTATGTAATAGGTTGCCTCTTTTTTGCTTCCATCAGACAAATGGACTGAGGCTCAACGCATTGTAGATTTTAGAAAACAGAACATTTCCTAATGGTTTTAAAACTTTCGTAATGATAGAAAATAATTTCCTTTATACTTTCACTGCTTTTAAACTCTGAATTTCTGTTCGCATATAAGCAGTATTGCATTATTTGGATTGTAATGTTCAATTTATTATAACATTATAATATATAATATGTACAATTATCAGTTTAGATAATTTTCTTAGGTTCAGGAAGAGGAAAACAAATAAGAAAGCCTTATTAAGAGTATGATCAATTGGGTAGCACTTAAAAGAGTTCAAAAAATGTTCTGGATTTCTGCTTTGAGGTCTTCTTGTCTTGAGCCTGTGCAATTACCTCCTGTTCTTTCCCACAGTCCACTGAAATGGGAAGAAGTTAAAAAGAGAGAGAAGAAAAGAAAAGAGGAAACTTTGTAGGACTGCTGAAAAGAGGAAAATGTACCACTGACATATAAGAAATATGGAACTTGGGGAATATGTGAAACAGAAAGGACAAAATGGAAGCAAAAACCTATCAGACTTGAATAGCAGGTAAGTTGGTTCCTCTTGAGAAGTAAGTGGACAGTGTCCTCAATGTAACCTGAAAAAGTTTCCTTTTTGGAGCAACAGGTTTGAACAAGGGTGTGCTATAGGGGTCATGGGTGAGGGGGATATTACATTATTTTAGAAGGTGTACCAGTGATCCACATGCTGTGTTTCCCTGGGTTTTGTTTTTTATGGAGAGTGTATGAGATGAAGAGCTTGTAAGCAAAGGAGGAAATAAAAATAAAAGTCAAAGGCTATTTAGAAATTATTAAAATGGGACAGTCATCTATGAAAAGCTGTGGAATGTGGTCAAAGCCATACACAGAAAGTAACTTGTCTTAATTTCTTTTAAATTTGAAGTATAGTGGATTTACAATCAACTATTACATTAGTTTCAGGTATACAACATAGTGATTCAATATTTTTATAGATAATACTCATATGAAGCTATTATGAAATATTGGCTATATTCCCTGTGGTGCACATTACATCCTTGTATCTTACTCATTTTATACCTAGTAGTTTGTACCTCTTAATCCCCTTCACTTGTGTTGCCCCATTCCTCTTCCCTCTCCCTGTTGGTAACCAGTTTGTTCTCTGTATCTGAGTCTGTTTCTGTTTTGTTATATTCATTCGTTTGTTTTATTTTTTAGATTCCACATACAGTAGAAGAAAGACTGAAGATAAATGAACCCATCCACGTTTGTCACTCAGTGGTTATTTGAGTGCAGTGTTGAGAAGGCGTGTGAAGGTGAGTCTGTACTGAATGGGGAGCACTGCTGTTAGTGAGTAGTGACTTCAGGGTTCAATGGATTTTTCAGATGAACTGAATAAAACTGCTAAGGGTCTGATAATTCCTGTATCGCTCCAAAGCACAGAATGACAGGAAGTTTCCCCAATAATTCTTTTTTTTTTTTTGGTATGCGGGCCTCTCACTGTTGTGGCCTCTCCCGTTGCGGAGCACAGGCTCCGGACGTGCAGGCTCAGCGGCCATGGCTCACGGGCCCAGCCGCTCCGCGGCGTGTGGGATCTTCCCGGACCGGGGCACGAACCCGTGTCCCCTGCATCGGCAGGCGGACTCTCAACCACTGCGCCGCCAGGGAAGCCCTCCCCAATCGCTCAAAAGAAAACTAAAGAAAAATTTCAGTTATAAAGATGCAGATACCTTAAATAAAATATTTTAAATATTTCCACTGTGAACAGTTTCAAGGAAGCAGAAACACTGTGCACAGTGAAATATAGAATTCGTGGTACCTACAAGTGATAAAAGAAGCTCCTTTGCAGAAATTGAAGAATTTATATCATAATTCACAGATGAGGTGGTGAATAATATCTGCCCGGCTTTGCTGCCTGGGACAATTCACAGGGTGGGCAGTGTTGTTGACCTGCTTCCCCAGGGCAGGAATTACTAGCATCCACACCAAGGGTCTGAGAACTAGGTGAAAGCTCAAGCAGAAAGTCCAGCACCTGCTTTTGAAGGTCAAACTTAGATTTGGTATTGGTTGAGTTTGCTATCTGTATGTCTGTCTTACCGTGAGATAAGAACTACGATGATTCACCTTTGTTGCCATCCAGTACAGACATTTCCATAAAGCAAGCGCTAAGAAAATCCTTGTTAATTGAATCTAATCACAGGAGCTGTGGAATAGTGGGACACTCACGGGTCTTGGAGACAAGGATTTGGTTTCATTCAAGCCAGGCTGCTAGTGGGTATCTGCTTTTGTCACGTTTACTTCCCTCATGACTCAGCTGGGACACCCCCTCTGGAGAGCCTCCTCGAGGCCCCCTGCATCCTGAGCGAGCTCACTTGTGTGCTACCCCGGCCCCGTGCTTCCCTCTTCTGGGGCAGTTCGCTTCTCCTGCGTTTCCCCTGTGAGACAGTGGTGCTTGAGGCCAGAGACTCTGTCCTTTGCATCCCTGTATCTGCAGAGAACAGCCCTTGTCTGGACACAGTAAGGACTGACCACACTTGATACATGAATGAAGGATTTAACTTCCCTGAGCTTAATTTTTCTCCATTTGAAAAATGAGAACGTTAATAATACATGAGATGAAGTAAGCCAGAAAGAGAAAAACAAATATCGTATATTAACGCATATATGTGGAGCTTAGAAGAATGGTACAGATGAACTGGTTTGCAGGGCAGAAATAGAGACACAGTTGTAGAGAACAAATGTATGGACACCAAGGGGGGAAAGCGGCTGGGGGATGGGGATGGTGGTGTGATGAATTGGGTGATTGGGATTGACATGTATACACTAATGTGTATAAAATTGATGACTAATAAGAACCTGCTGTAAAAAAAAGAAAAAAAAATACACGAGAATGGGGTTTTCAAGAATCTTCCTTGGAAAAAAGTCTGGCCCTTTCATAATAAAGGCAGTAGGCTTTGTTTATTGAACACCTATTATATGTGCCAAACACTGACCAGGCACTCTATATTATTATCATTCTCTCTTATCCTTCCACGTTTGTGAGGTAGGTGCTATTATCTCCATCTTACAGATGCTTGGAGACCTGAAGAAGCTGCCCCAACTAAATAGCAAGCAAGTCCGGCAGAGCCAGAGTTTGAATCCCAAGCCTGTAATTGTTCCACTGTAGAATTGATGTTTCTATGGGAAGCTCAGTTTGGGTTGTCGTCAGTAGGTCTCATGGGTACCCTGGCTGTGTAATTATGGCTTGTAAAAGGTCGGTCGTGAAAGTTGAGCTGGTGAAATCCAGCCTTGAATACATTGCTTGGCACATGGTAATTGCATGGTCAATATAATTGTTGAATGAAATAATGAATTAGTTGATTAATAGAAAACCCATGAATGTTATTCTTAGTAATTTACGTAATAAACCAAGAGACTGTTTATATGTGTGTGATTCAAGAGTGTTTACACACCCACAACTTCAGATGACGGGCAGATATTCCTAGGAAGGTAAAACTGGAATTTGATTTTCATTTAGTGAGTGAAAGAAACTGAAATAAAAGGATTGGCTAGTCATCTAGGGATCTCATTAAAAATGAAAATCCCTATATTCCATTCCCAGAGTTTGTTATTTTTATACTCTCCTGGATGTGAAATAAAATGCTTTGTAAATTGTGGAGTGCTGTACACACTTAATATATTACCAAGAAACTGTGTGTGTGTGTGTGTGTGTGTGTGTGTGTTTCCCATGAAGGTGGAGAAAGTATCCTTTGGGATCTGTTGAAAGTGAAGGAAGAGAACAGTTAAGAGACTCAGTTAAATCAGAAAAGAAAGGGGCTCTTTCATTCAGTGAAAGGAATGTTTCTTTTGTCAGTATCTCCCCCAGAGGCAAGTCTGGTTGACTAAAATTTAACAAAGAGATCCCGTTGGTGTGTTTGGTTATTTCCTGATTGAGGCATCGTCGGTTACCCCAGGTGATAGCAGTGTATTGTCACTGTGTACACGCAGTCTGAAGGGAGAGCCAGGAAACTCTGAGCAAGGCTGCAGTGCTCAAAATCTGGCCCAGCTCTGGGAGCCAAGGGTGATTCTACTTGTCTGTCATGCTTGTGACTCAGCACTCCTCTCCTTGCTTCCCTTTGTAGATGTCTTCCTATTCCATAATTGGTTACTACTTTTGTCCCTCCTTGTTTCTGCCTCATGGCTTCTGCTTACTGCCTTCTGTCTACCAGTAAGCAACATTTATTGAGGCTTACTGTGTGCCAAGCAGAATTTCACCTTTATTCTCAGAACAACCTTTTGAGGTAGGAATAGGGTGTCCTTGTTATCTGAGTATTCATTACTATAGTTTCCACACTGAGTGCACAGGGATGCTAAGGCCATCAAAATAGGAAAACATCCACTAATGAGTTGAAAACCAATGCATTTTACACTCAAAACCCTCTTCCTACTTCATAGTAGTCTTGGTAATTAACAATCACTAACATACAATGCACATGTAATGCAAAGCCTAATAGCAAAATTTGCAAAAGATGCAGAATGTCATGAAGTCGATGTCAATAGGAAGGTCATTGGTAAAAGACTGTCAGAGTGTGGCCAGTTAACAATTAGAGAAGAGGAAATAGACAAGGCCTGTGTTAATTTTGCTACTTGAGAACCAGTGTTGCTGTTCTGAAATACATTTTGGAAATCTTTGGTATGTGCACTATTATATAATTGAGTGTAGGCATTAACGTAGGCCAGATTTTTATCCTTTTCAGGTCTGTCAGGCTTTCATGGAATAAGAATTAGGCTTCTGGAACATAATGTCAGTGATTTTTGACTGATATGTGCTAATGGGGTTAGGGAAACATGAATACTTGGAGTCCTTAAAAACTGAGGGTCATATCTAAGATCTATAAATGATGGAGCTGTGACTATTCGTAGGCCCAAATAGTGTCTTTGGCTTTCACTGTGAAGTCCTGCTAATAGCATCTTAGTTTTATATAGGGTATTACAATTCGAGATTATTTTCATGTGCATTATCTCATTTCATGGTTATTTGTAACTATAAATATATAAACATTGGGGTGCATGTATCTTTTTGAGTTATAGTTTTCTCCAGATATATGCTCAGGAGTGGGATTGCTGGATCATATATTATTTTTAACTATATGAAGTAGAAAAGGGAAATAACATTATGTTTTAAAGATGAGGATACTGAGGTTAGTATGATGTCACGTATTAGCAAGTGACACTCCAGTACTAGAATGACTTTCCTAAATCCTGGTTCAGCGCTTTTCCTACTCCCCCAAATAAAAACAGAGAATAAGGAAGGAACAATATCATCTCTGTTTTATAAAGGAAGAAATTATAGAAAACTCAAACATTGCAGATGCACACTGGGAAGATCACTTGGCAAATTAAGTGGAATAATCATGTGTCCATAATCTGACAATTACTAAAAGAATTAACAAAATTGGAGTTACCCAGACTAATTACCCTTTTTACCCAGGGCAGCTTTTAAAACCTTACCTGATTTTTTTCATCAATATTTGTTTTGTTTCTTTTTGTTTTTGTATTGAGGTATATAGTTGATTTACAATGTTGTGTTAGTTTCAGGTGTACAGCACAGTGATTCATTTCTACCTGTGTGTGTGTATATATATATTCTTTTTCAGATTAGTTTCCTTTATAGGTTATTACAAGATATTGAGTAGAGTTCCCTGTGCTATACAGTAGGTCCTTGTTGGTTATCTATTTTGCATATAGTAGTGTTTATATGTTAACCCCCAACTCCTAATTTATCCCTCCCCTCGCCCCTTTCCCTTTTGGTAACCACAAGTTTGTTTTCTGTGTCTGTGAGTCTGTTTCTCTTTTATAAATAAGTTCATTTGTATGATTTTTTTAGATTCCATACATAAGTGATATTATATGATACTTGTCTTTCATTGTCTGGCTTACTTAGTATGATAATCTCTAGGTCCATCCATGTTGCTGCAGATGGTATTATTTCATTCTTTTTTATGGCTGAGTAATATTCCATTGTGTATGTGTGTGTGTGTGTGTGTGTGTGTGTGTGTGTATGTAAATACCACATCTTTATCCATTTATCTGTTGATGGACATTTAGGTTGCTTCCATGTTTTGGCTATTGTAAATAGTGCTGCTAAGAACATTGGGGTGCATGTATCTTTTTGAGTTATAGTTTTCTCCACATATATGCCCAGGAGTGGGATTGCTGGATCATATGGTAGCTCTATTTTTAGTTTTTTAAGGAACCTCCGTACTGTTCTCTGTAGTGGCTGTACCAATTTACATTCCCACCAACAGTGTAGGAAGATTCCTTTTTCTCCACACTGTCTCTAGCTTTTTTTTTTTTCCTTTTTTTTCTTTTTTTTGGCTGCACTGTGTGGCATGAAGGATCTTAGTTCCCTGACCAGGCATAAAACCCATGCCCCCTGCAGTGGAAGCATGGGGTCTTAACCACTGGACTGCTAGGGAAGTCCCTCTCTAGCATTTATTATTTGTAGACATTTTGATGCTGGTTGTTCTGACCTGTGTGAGGTTATGCCTCACTGTAGCTTTGATTTGCATTTCTCTAGTAATTAGCAATGTTGAACTTTTTTTTCATGTGCCTGTTGGCCATCAGTCTGTCTTCTTTGGAGAAATGTCTGTTTAGATCTTCTGCCCATTTTTTGATTGGGTTGTTTGTTTTTTGGATATTGAGCTGTATGAGCAGTTTGTATATTTGGGAAATTAATCCCTTGTCCGTTGAATTGTTTGCAAATATTTTCTCCCATTCTGTAGGTTGTCTTTTCATTTTGTTTGTGGTTTCCTTTGCTGTGCAAAAGCTTTTCAGTTTAATTAGGCCCCATTTGTTTATTTTTGTTTTTATTTCCATTACTCAAGGAGACAGATCCAAAAAACATTGCTGCAATATATGTCAAAGTGTTCTGCCTATGTTTTCCTTGAGGAGTTTTATGGTAATCTCGTCTTACATTTAGGTCTTTAATCTATTTTGAGTTTATTTTTGTATATGTGTTAGAGAATGTTCTAATTCATTCTTTTACATGTAGCTGTCTAGTTTTCCCAGCACCACTTATTGAAGAGACTGTCTTTTCTCCATTGTATGTTCTTGCCTCCTTTGTTATAGGTTAATTGACCGTAAGTGTGTGGGTTTATTTCTGGGCTTTCTATCCTGTTCCATTGACCTATATGTCTGTTTTTGTGCCAGTACCATACTGCCTTGATTACTGTAGCTTTGTAGTATAGTCTGAAGTCAGGGAGCCTGATTCCTCCAGCTCTGTTCTTCTTTCTCAAGATTGCTTTGGCTATTTGGGGTCTTTTGTGTTTCTGTAGAAATTTAAAAAATTTTGTTCTAGTTCTGTGAAAAATGCCATTGGTAATTTGATAGGGATTGCATTGAATCTGTAGATTGCCTTGTGTAGAATGGTCATTTTAACAGTATTGATTCTTCCAATCCAAGAACACAGTATATCTTTCCATCTGTTTGTGTGGTCTTCAATTTCTTTCATCAGCATCTTATAGTTTGTTGGAATACAGGTCTTTTGTCTCCTTAGGTAGGTTTATTCCTAGGTATTTTATTCTTTTTGATGCATTGGTAAATGGGATTGTTTCCATAATTTCTCTTTCTGCTGTTTCGTTGTTAGTGTATGGAAATGTGACAGATTTCTGTGTATTAATTTTGTGTCCTGCAACTTTACTGAATTCATTGATGAACTCTAGTAGTTTTCTGGTAGCTTCCTTAGGATTTTCTGTGTATAGTATCATGTTGTCTGCAAACAGTGGTATCTAAAAAAACAGTTGAAAAGATCCATGAAACTAAAAGCTGGTTCTTTGAAAAGATAAACAAAATTGATAAATCTTTAGCCAGACTCATCAAGAAAAAAAGAGAGAGGGCCCAAATCAATAAAATCAGAAATGAAAAAGGAGAAGTTACAGGATATAAAGCATAATAGACTACTATGAGCAACTATGCACCAATAAAATGGACAACCTACAAGAAATGGACAAAGTCTTAGAAAGGTACTGTCTCCCAGGACTGAACCAGGAAAAAATGGAAAATGCAAACAGACCAATTAACTACCGAAATTGAATCAGTAATTTAAAAACTCCCAACAAACAAAAGTACAAGACCAGATGGCTTTACAGGTGAATTCTACCAAACATTTAGAGAAGAGTTAACACCTATCCTTCTGAAACTATTCCAGAAAATTGCAGAGGAAGGAACACTTCTGAACTCATGAGGCCACCATCATTCTAATACCAAAATCAGCAATATGTTTTGTTGAAATTCTTTTTCGTTTTTAAAATTGATTTGTTAACCATGATAAATCACATAGGTCAGTACAGTTTTTGTACTTTTCTCTTTGTGAAAAATAATATGTGGTCCTAAGCATTTACTTAAAAAAATAAGTCGAAAACAAAACAAGACAACTCCAGCCAGGAGAGACTTAGTCTTGGGGTGACTGACAGCTGATGATATGCTAATAGTTTCTCCTGCTCAAAATTAATGGTATACTTAACTTGTAACCACAGTTTAGGCTTAAGGGTTTTTCTGTGGGTGGTAGGCAAAGAACAATGATCAAAATTTTTGTGAGTCTTTACATTTCTGACGGTTGCCCTTTATTATTCTTTATTTAAGTATTTAGGAAAGAGTTGTTTCTGCAGAAAGGTTGGTTACTGGTGATAAGTGTAAGTACCCTGCGGTATTGTTGTAGGTAATTATTGGAAGTGGAAAAGTCCTGAAGGTTGGACTGATGTTATCCTGTTATCCACTTCATATTTAAACCAAATTTATTGGCTGAAAAATTTACCTTAGGGGCTGCCCTGGTGGCGCAGTGGTTGGGAGTCCTCCTGCCGATGCAGGGGACACAGGTTCGTGACCCGGTCTGGGAAGATCCCACCTGCTGCGGAGCGGTTGGGCCCGTGAGCCATGGCCGCTGAACCTGCGCGTCCGGAGCCTGTGTTCCACAACAGGAGAGGCCACAGTGGTGAGAGGCCCGCGTACCGCAAAAACAAAAACAAACAACAAAAAAAAACAACTTTAGCTTAGGACCCTCTTGTAGAGAGCTCCTGAAATAGATCAGAGCTGTTGGTAGACATGCCCTTGCTCCCAGTGCTTATCAGAACGGTGTTTTTGTGACTCTGGGCACATTAAACTTTTCTGATTTTCCTGGCTGGTCATTTGAGAAGAGAAGAGAATTAAGAGAAGACTCAGGATGAAGGAAAAAATGTCTCTGAAGGCAGTTGTATCTGGTTCTAAGGTATAGTAAAAAGCTGTTGGAATACCCTGTCTGACTTTAAAACAGAAAAATATCCATGACTTTTTGAGACCTGCTCTATAGCCAGGGAGAGGAGACCATCAGTCTCCCAGAGTTTCTGTGGGATTGAAGTTCCTGTTATGTCCAGAAAAACATTCCATTCCCCTGAATAGGACCAAACATGGCTCAAATATACTAACATCTTATATATAGTTATTTTATAAAAATATTCATTAGGTTTTGGTCATATGTTTGATTTAACTAACTTTATGTAGCTGAATCATCCCAGCATATGACTAAATAGAATTTCTGGCTAAGTGTTCCATTTTTTTTTTCACTCTTGTACATTATTATCTTATATTTTTAAGATCATCAAAATCTTAAATTAAAGTTTAATATTTTTATAAAAAAAATATTTTTTTGCCACACCCCACACAGCTTGTGGGATCTTAGTTCCCTAACCAGGGATCGAACCATTGCCCCCTGCAGTGGAAGCGCAGAGTCCTAATCACTGGACTGCCGGGGAATTCCCAAACAAAGTTTAATTTAACCAATTGAAATCATTGAGAATGTTTATGTTTAAATTTGTATAGTGTTTTAAAATATTTTAGATAAAGTGATATTTGCTGTATCAACAATTTAGGCATACATAGAAGTTACGATAGTTATTACGGTTTTTATGAAATCAGAGAAAGAATAATGAGATATATTCATGTCGGGCAGGAAGAAATTTTTCTCTACCCTTCTAGGTTCTTCTGGCTGGTCTAAGAAGTAAAGTGACATGAGACA